TCTCACTTTCTGTCTCTCTGTCTCTCTCTATCTTTCTGACAAGTGCAAGCACCCTATAGCAAAAACCTCTCTCTCAAAAAAAATAATAATAATAATTTTTGAGCAAGAGGCTGTATTTATGGCTGTGAAAACAAAAGCTAGTGCACAGGGGAGTGAGAGCTAGTCTGGCGAGAGCGTGCCCTGCTGGGCAGCGGGGCCACGCCCCGCAGTGTTTGGAAAGCTCCTGCAGAGGTCCGGGCCCACAACCCTGGGGAAGAAGTGGCCCGGACCTCTGATAGAGAACTCTATCCTCACCGCAGTTCCAAGGGGTGCGGTTCCTCCTCCTCACAGCCACGTGTTGGCGGGATGCTGGCTGTGGGCCGCGCTTCTGGTCTCTGTGCTCTCTGAGAGCTGCTTGTTGCCGGAGCTGCAGGCGCCTTTCCTTTCCCACTTCCCGCATTCGCGACAGCGCTGCTTCCTGGTGGCTGCCGTGGTCGGGGCATCTGACACCCCATTACAACCTGCAGTGCTGCTCACAGTTGTTGACACTCAGTGCCCACAGTCACCCTTTCCCTGGCACTTCAAAATGGTGACATTTGTCATTGCTCCTTCAATTTGTTAGGGGTAATAGCTTTTTTTGTTTTTAAATTGCTAGAGAGGGTGCGCACTCAACAGAGAGAGGAGAGGGAGAAAGCAGCCCTGTGGGCGTGATCGCAACACAGTCCCTTCTCCGTTTCTCTATCCTGTTGGGATTTTGAACACGTACACGCTTGGACCTGGCAGAGGTTTCCAGCCTCTGAGTCTGAGATTCAGTGGTGTGGTCAGCCATGTGGGAGCTGGGTCCAGTAACTGCCGAGCCCCAGGGCTGTCCCTGTAATTACTGTGGTTATGTCACTAACACAGACATGTATCATTTTCAGAGTTTTTGTTGAATTTTGCCAGACGGAGCATGCTGGAGAGACGGAGAGAAGGCAAGAGAGAGGGAAAGTGAGAAAGCACCTCCCAGGGGACCAGCAGTTAGCATAATGGCTATGTTGCTGGACTCCCACGTAGTCGACCACGGTTCGCGTCCCGGACCTGCTGGCTTAAACTCACGCTGGGCGCATGTGCGTGCGTGCCCAAGATCCCGAGAGGAGAATGGAGGAGAAGGGATTGCAGCATGGCCATCCCCCCGGGGAGTGATTTCTCGCTTTCTGTCTGTCTGGCGGGCGCACGCGCCTCTCCAAAAAAAGAAAGCACCTCCCAAGGGGGGTGGCCACACCAGTATCTCTTCTCCCTTTCTTCTTTCAGAATTTTGGGCACACACACACACGCGTGCACACGCGCATGCCCAGCATGTCTCAGGCTGCCTGATCTGGGACTCCAACCATGCAGTGCACCATGCAGAACTCAGCGACCCTAACCACCACACCGCTGGCTGGCCCAGAATATTAATCTTACACGACTGTCCAACTGCATGTTCTTATTTTTAAATACTAGTTGATTATTTTATTTTCTTAGGTCTTCCAGGTATCTCATCACAGCATCCTCAAGTTGTACTTTTCATCTTCACCTTTGAGATCTACCCTCCACTTTCTTTTGCCTAACTGCATGAGCTGTAGGGAGTAATGGGCCGGCAGTTGGCACCGTCTCGTGTCGACGTC